GAAGGATATTGTCATCTATTTCCAGGGAATCAGCCTATTTCCTTTGCCTCTAACCATAATTAGTACGTGCATTTGATGACCTTTGATTAGAAAGTTTGCCAAACCTGAGAGTGAGTGGACTGTACTCTTACAGGCTTTGCTTGCAGGAAGTATGTAACACATGCTGAACATCAGTATGAAACCAAAGTCTGACTACTACACCTACGTGGATTTTTCTGATGGCAGGGCACCTTTGCAGAGGGAGATCCTCTATCCCACAGCATGAAAAAAATAACAAGGTTAAGGTATCCAGAGGAGGAGACACTTAGCAAGGCCTGATTTAACGTGGCATTAAGCAGCACTGACGCCAATTCCTGTTGCAGTTTGTCTTGTCCATGATGCATGAATTGCCAATAGTTCTGGCAAGTCTGGGAGCCCACCATGTTCCTGAGTCCTGGTCAAAACAAAATTCTTAATAGTTTCCTTTAAACATTTAGTCTTTCAATAACACCCAGAGTTCAAATCTCAAATCCATTACACAGAACATTTAACCAATCTGTTAGCAAATGCCAGGCCTGTAAAGATACTGTTGATCTGGTAGAATGAGACAATTTTGGATAGCTTCTTTTAATGCAGATTCTAATGAATGGGTTGAGACCCACAATATATTTTTCTCCAGTCCTCAGCTAGCTGATGGGTAATAACATTTGATCTGGTCTCATTACAACCTAAGTTCAAATGACTGCTTAGGAATGAAAGATAGCAAATGTCTCTCACTTGTAATTTCACCCTGTTATGTAATATAGATGTTACATTGCAACAAAATAATATTTTAAATTATTAGAATTTCACCTGGCGAAAATACTTGCAGGACAAATTTTCAGATTTGCAGATGAAAAGTTTTCACCTAAAAAAACCCAATAATCTTCTGAAAAGTCTAGCAGTAATAACTTGTGATTAACAGCCATGGCTTTCAAAGGTTTTATTAGAGTTATCACATTTTATCCGCAGAGTCTGGTGTGCCTGTCTGTCAGCAGAGAGATGCCCAAGGGAAAAGGTCCACAAGGGAAAAGGATCACCTTGAAAGTGGCCAAAAATGCAGTCCGAGTACTTTTTAATGGAAGGCGTCGTCTTGAGTTAGGCAAAATGGGCATTGCCACCTTCCCCAAGTGCATTCTGCAGCTGGCTGATGTGGAGGAACTTGATTTGAGCAGAAACTTGTTAAGAAAGATTCCAAACACCATTGAGAAGTTCCAGAATTTGATGTGGCTGGACCTGCACAGTAATCAGATTGATGAGCTACCCGCAGCAATAGGCACACTTCAGAACCTTACTTTCCTGAATTTATGCAACAACAAGTTGACCACAAAAGGTCTACCACAAGAGTTGACCCTTCTCAGGAACCTGCGTACTCTCAACCTTGGCTTGAACTGCCTTGAGACTATTCCCACCACTCTTGGGTCCCTGAGGGAACTTATTGAGCTAGGTCTCTTTGACAACTCCTTGACCATCATCCCAAAGAGTGTGAAAAAGCTCCCCAAGCTTGAGAGACTGAATGTAAAAAGAAACCCTTTACCAGAATTTGCAGAGGAAGAAAAGCCAATTGACACCGTTAAACGCATAGAATCACTTTACTTAATTGAAAAGAAAGACCTGTGTGACTCCTGCCTAGAGACGTGTCAGGGTGAGAGGGACGAGCTGCACAAGTTAGAGGACATGGCACCCGGCCTCTCGGATAAGCCAAGTTTCCCTTCACTCAGTACACCAAATTCCACTGCAAGGGATAACCAAGAAGAATGGAGAATAAAAGAAGAAGACGACGACGACGACGATAATCCTGGAAATATACCGGGGAACTCTGCAGACCATGTTCCATGAAGTCCAGCCCAAACTAATAAAAAGCTGACCTCCCTCCTCATCCGTCTTCCTGCAGTTCTACTTCTTTAAAGATCAGCTTCATTTTAGAAGCAGATCTCTGTGGTCTCTAAAATGAAAACCAGAACAACTAAACTAGATGTGTATTTAGAAAAGGCTATTTACATATGGACCTGTCCCTACAACATGTTCATGTTTGGGCTTTTTGGGGTCTTTTGTGTGTGCAGTGTCCAGTGAAGGGATCTTTTAAAAAACAGGTTTTTCTAGTAAAGCCATTCCCACCACTAAGCTCCAAATATTATTTCTGTTCATTTTCATAGAGTAAGACACAGTTGAACTAGTCTCAGTAAATAGCATTTGGAGGAAAAGGCAAAGACCTGGGAACTTTTTGCTGCTGGTGGTTGCCACCAAGATCTTAGAGTCTCAAACAGGCACTGTCAGTGTAGGAACTGTGAGCCTGTTCCAATTCGGCAAACACAAGTGTTATGCTCAGGAGTAACTAAGCAGTACAAACACAACGCTTAGAGATAGACAACCAGTGATCCTGGTTGCCATCAAGGGGCAAGATTCTGCAGGTTCTTTGGGATTTGAAGTGCTATACCTAGGTGCAGCAATCTCCAAGATGCACAACGCAATCAGCACAACTGTCCATACCCATAGTGTTTTGTCAGCCTCTGAGTCTCTCTCCAAGGAAGATGGAGAAGAGGTAGGGAGTCAACTGATCTGAGGGAACCATAGACTTAAGGCTGTCAGAAAAACCTGTTAGGGCGAGCAGAAGTGCTGTTGTACCATGGGAGTTGTTATGTTAGTAAGAGTTATTTCATATAAGGTAATGTTTCAAGTTCTTGCTAATGGCTGGTTAGCTATTTTTTACATGTATGGTTATGTTTCCAGTTCTCTTTTACAATTGGACCCCAATATAAATTCCCTATTACATGTGCCCTGTTTCCGGGTCTTCGAGGCTTATTCCTTACTGTGTGTGGTTTCCACCTTTGCTGTTTTGCTTATTGAAGCCTTTTCTTTTTGAATAACCTCATTGTTCCCTCCCCTATTTTATTTTGCCAATAAAAACAATCAAACAATCTGGTCCTGGGGTCATATGTGCTGAGCACAACAGGGTAGGAAAAATATTTCTTTTTAAGGGTCCCAGGCTTATCACTTAAGCAGTGACTAAAGTGATTAAGAGAAGAAAAGTCACTGTCTTCCATGATCCAAGAATTAGGTTCTGAGTTGATGAAGTCAGGTCTGGTATCCCCACAGCACTTTTAGCTTTCTGTTGACATGTACATATGCACATGTGCACCTGAGCACAAACATTCTCTCGCTGAAACCACATCCTCAGGGCAAAGAGTGCTGACATCCTGCAAACAGCAATATACAGGTACAAGCAATGAGCAGATTATAAAAGCACTGAAGCACGACATGGGAAGGACTTGCAGTGGCCATAATAACCTATGGTGACAGCAAACATTTAAGTATATTTGACTGAAGAATAAAGTGCCAGGAGGACTTTATTTTTTAAATGACTACATTAGAGCTTGGAAGTCAGAACTCTAGTGTATTTCCTATGGACTAGGTGCAAAAACTGATAAGGGATTTCCCATAAATTCTATTGCCTCAATGTCATATGATGCACCAAACCATGTGCTATTTTCCCTAACTGTGCGATTATCAATAGTGTGTCTGGGCAAAGAATTTAGTCTGGCCTGCCTCCTTGTCTCAGGTGTGGCAGGGAAAGCTGGAAAACTGTGGAAGTTGGCCATTGTTCCCCTAGATGGGGAAGGAGCCCCCAGTGCTGCTTTTGAAATTTTCTAACTCTGAAACAGCTCCACAATTCAAACAAGGGAAAAGTAAACTCAAGTCCTTAGTCCCTTAGTTCTAACTGGTAAAGGGAAGCACACCTACTGAGGACTTTTCTCTAACTTTCCACTTTAACACAACTTTTCTGGCTTCAGTACCTAGGCAGTGATTATAATAATGTTACATTTATTTTATTTCAATCCATGTTCTAACATGGTCCAGTCAAAACTATGCCAAAGGCCCTTCATGTTCTCAGAGTAAGTAAGTTGTGTTGCATAGGGGCTTCTCTCAGCCAGTGGAGAAAAGCTGAAGGCAGAGTCTTACTGGGATTCAGGACAAGCTGCTTTAGACCTAAGCATGCAGCCTGTCTCAAATTCTGGGATTAACCATGAGTCAAATCTTTCTTCCAATAACCACCAGCCCAGTTAATGCCTAAGTTTCTTGATATTCTAATGCATCTTCTCTCAAGACATTCACACCTCAAGCGCCCAGCAAGCAGGGGAAAGGAAATCCTAGTGTGAGTTACTGTTTACACAGAACAGATACCACACTCCACAGCCAGCCATCACCTTCTGGCATAGGTTAGGCTCTAGCAGGATCTGGTTCTGCACTGATGCTTTTAGCCAGCTGATGACTGGAGCTCAGGGGTGAAAATGCTCACTTACTAGATAGGTAATGACCTGCAACGGGTAGACTAAAAATTAAAATAGCTCACACAGGCTACAACAACTCAATGTGCACCTCAGGTCTCAACAGAATTCCAGTCTCAGTAATCATTTCAGAGGACTTCAATTAGGCACTTAGGGCTATGTTCCCCAGATATCCAAATGGAGAAAAGTCACAGTAACTCATGGCATGCATGAAACATTCTCTCAAGCGCCTTGCAGTGGGAGAAAATGTTTTTCATGCAATGGTAAATCTCAGGGACAAGTTAGAATCTCCATTGTGCAGCTAATACAACATACTAAAACATCCATGTGTACATCACTGTCTACCCTAAGCATGCAATGAAGAGGTAATGCAAAATGCAAAACAATAATGCAAAAGCATTATGGATTACCTCTGTCCTTACTGTCTCTTCCCACAGTAACCATCTGTGTAGAGATTACCAATAAAGTGATATTAAGGAGGTAAAAAATATTAACCATCCATGCACAGTCAGCTTTTTGACACGCATTTTCATAATGTCAGGAAGTATGCTAGAATTCTCTTTGAAGTTCTGGCAACACCTTTGAATCTTTAAAAGGAAGGATACAAATAGGTATGTTTCTATAGGCTTTTTTTAAGGTGCTACTTATTCACATAATTGCACATATTACAGTTATCCAATGCTTCCTATGTTTTACCTTATATTTAGGGATTCTTCTGTTATCCCCTTCGACTTCAAAGCAGGCTGGAACGAGCAAAATCTATAGGAGATATGAAAAGTCACATTATAGTGATGCACAGTTATGCAAATGGTTATTAGGACACATTACGTATCTATGTAACTGCTATGTTCTCCCAACTTTCTTCAGGAAGCCACAGTGCTGCCCTGAGACTCTAACCTAGGACAAAGCTGGAAGAAAACAGGCAAAAGCACACATCTAATATTAAGGAGTTGCTATGGGCTGGATAAATGCAGTTTCTTTCCCCAACAGGACTTTGAATTTACATACAGGGTTATGGACTTTATGGTTTAAGGTGCTATAAAACTCACGAAAATAAGAACCCATTGAGACATTTATTTAGCAAGAATGGCAGAAAGAGCACCAAACCTTGTCTCAACCATTCATATTTACATTTGCTGTGAGTTTATGATACCAGATGAACTATACCCTTGAAATATATAGTTTTGGCCAACCTTCAGCTGAGGATCAACCTTGTCTTAACTGCCTCTGAAAGATTCCCCAAGAGATACTTATCAGAACTCAAAGACAGCAAAGACAAGGGCTGACTCTGTGGCAGATCCTGGTGATAAGTAGCCACACTATGCAGCCTGTTTGGAAAGGAAGAACAGATAAATCTGCACTGACTTTTTAATACAATACTACAATAGGGATTTTTCAGAGATTTCAGGAGCAGAAGGAATTGCTATGATTGTTTAGAAATTAACAGTACCAATGTTCAGTTTGGGCTGCAGAATTTAGTACAGGAAGCAGTAGTACTGAAGTGGATTTTCCTGTGTAAAAGCCAGTGAATGCAGTCCTGATATAATGGCTAGAACTGCAGTACACAAAAACATGCAAGAAAACTAAGTGCAAAGGAATCACTTCATAGTCTTACATTCAAGTTCCTTTAAACAAGACGAGCACATAAGGAGAGTATTTTTTTTAAATGCCCTTTTTAAAGTTAACTCTACAAAGCCAGATAAACAAAAATACATTACTCCTAAAGAATCTAGTGATACTATGTGGGCTGGAAGAAAGCAGGAAGAAACCTTCTTTCACCCAGTACTGTGAGGTGAGGTGGACGTGGCCCTCATCTCAGTGGGAGGAAGGAAAACAGATACAGTCAAAATTTCCTGGGGTGCAGGGGCACAACACACCACTGGGTGCTAGAAAAGCCCTAAACATTAGATTCCTTGATAAGTCAATGGCTATATAATGCTCCAAAGAGTTCACAGGTCAGCACAAAGAAAACTTCACAGCTAAACTGTAACCCATTAAAGCTTAAGGAAAAAATGTAAAATAAAGCTCCTGCAGCCCACCACAAAAACCTGGCACCAGGATAAATAAGGGTGGTATACCAGGAGTATCACCAGGATCATTCCCATGTTATTGTGTGCTATCATTACCTTTTAAATATCTTATTTCGGTCACTGTCATGGAAGACAAGAAATCTGGAGTAACCATTTTTGAAGAATATTTCCAAGGCGATCTCCTGGAAAGGTAAATAATTTACAGGGTGAGGATCTGCAGAGCAAAGCCTAGTGCTGCAAAGTGTCCATCATGGCCTGTCTTCAGGGCTTTAAAAATAACAAACCTTGACGTTTTAGACAAATGTGCAGAACTAAAGCAAAATATGCTGAATATTCTAAATTTCTTCAAGCGTAGGGGTGGTCCTACTCAGTGACTATGAGGTCAAACACTTCTTTGAAGCAAAACCAAACTTCAGATAACAATTTCATTGTGAAATCTCGGTGTGATAAAGAAGAAAGTAGTAGCATTAAGTTCCAACTAGGTGATAAAGACAACACAAAGGGGGGATTATAAATAAGAGTTTCTTTTAGAAAGCAACCATACTGCTTTCTAAATTAAGACAGAGCTCAACAGAACTGCCACATAATTTCTCCTGACTTGAGGCACCAAAGGAGGAAGGGGAGTTTCTGACATTTAAAACAAAAACTTTGAGGAATTAAAGTTGAAAGAAAACTTCACTCCCTTTCCCCTCACCCCAGAATGTCTCCACACATTGTTTTGCTGGGCATTTGAATACAATCCTATTATTTACTTAGTGAGAGGCCCTTTTCCCCCCAAGTCATTCAAGTAAAACTATAAATAACATGTAGTGTCTGGGAACCCAGACATGAGTTTCAGTCAAATGTGGCAGGTGCAATACAAACCTAGAGAAACACTCTGATGGCAGGTGGTCCATACATGATTCACAGAAAAAATATAAAGCAGAAAGGTAATATGAGAGCAGCTATGACAATAAACAGCTTGCAGCATTTGCTCTGAAGCTCAGCTTTACAAACAAGGTCTGCTAAAGTGTTGCCGTTACAACTGGGCCAATGCTTTGCCCTTTGCATGGACAAGAGTCCAGCTGAGGCACAGTCACTGCCTAAGTAGCTGATCTACCTGTCCTGCAGCAAAAGCACAAGGAATCAGCTTTCCTCTTTTTCAAATATTTTTTTCAAAGAAGTTTGTGGCATAGAGTCCCAGCACAAGCCTGATACAGATACCTGAGTTTTTAGTTCATTAGCTGAACAAAACAACCCTGTAATAACAACAAAAAACCATGGAACAATAATAAAAACCACCAAACCACAAAACCCCTCAAACCAACAAGCTCAGTCTTTGCCCCAGGCCCACTCAAGGACTGTTTCTACTCATCTCCATTTTTCACTTTGGATCACACTAAAAAATTCTATTTTGCATGTTTGAAAAAAATCCATGCTTACACAAATGTGAATATATGAGTAGTTGGAAGTCTTCTGCTGGCAACTTTATTGCTATCCCCCAAACAGAAGAGGTGCCAATTCTGCTCAGGCTGATCACCTTAGTAAGCTTACTAAGTTACTCATACAGTTACTCAGAACATGACTTACGTTCCTGTACCTGCTTGGTGAGTGACCTAACCATTGCAATATACTGTATACTGAAGTATCACCTACCAAAATTGCCCAGTTTGCATACATAATTAAATATGAAATAAAACAGGGCTAGCTCCTGGATGATTTTGTAATTCCCTGCTTAATCTCAACCTTCCAAAAATGGATTCAAAAATAACAAGTAACTAGTTACAGCTGCTTCAAAACTTCATATTTTGGTCAAATATGTGAATTACTCCTTAGGCTGTACCAAAACCCTCTAAAGCAAGTACAGGGTCTGGTGTTGCAAGAAGCTCTAGTTACAACTCTTCTGTGATTCTCCTCACAGGTTCACCTAAATGAGACAAAATTGAAAGGGCACCAAGGCCCCTGGTGATGAGTAGTTCCTGGGTATTACAGCTACAGGCACAGAATCCTCTTCTTTGGCTTATGGCTCTTTTATTGAACCACACGCACAACTTGAAAGTTATTCCAAAAGGCCCAGGGTAAGTGTGTTAGTAACCCATAGTACGCTGATGCCATGACTACTGAAGTCTTTTGGGACCTGAATGTTAAGGGAAGTCAGCCGCTTAGTGGTATCATCCATAAAAATAAAGAACATTAATTTCAAGTCTAATTTTCAAAAACACTGTGTGAGTAATGTTAGCCCAACAATTAATAAGTCAATCACTCTACTCAGGGTGCTTAAATATTGTAGTGAGTATAGAAAGGAGTTTGTATTAGCACAGGCTAATGAAACAATGATGGGACCAAAAGCATCCGGGAACACATCTGGTCTCCCACAGCATGATCTTTATGACATAAGTTGAAAAAAAATGGATCACTGATTCTGGAGGAGAAATATAAACAAAAGAAATTAATTTGAAACAAAAAAGACCTGGAGAGCCCTCTTGAATATCGAAGTCCTGCACTAAAGAAAAATAATACCAAGAGGTATTAAGAACAACTGGGGCATACATAAACTGAAAACAAAGCTAAATAAATAAAGCTAAATATAAAAGGCAGATTTTATACTGGTTACCCAAATAAAGAGCATGTGGAGGCTAAGGGCAGGTTTGGAGTTATTTTAATACATGCAAATAGGCAGATAGCAATGTTTTGCACACACTGAAGTATGAGAATCAGCAAGGGAAGAAACTTGTTGAGAGAACCTGAAAGCCCAGGTCAAGGGTAAGCATCATATGGACACACAGCTACTGTAAACAGCAATTACTTGCAATTAATAATTAATTAATTATTATTTTAGTTGTATATACGTACTAGAATTGCAGTCAACAGCCTAGCCCACGGAAAATCCCTTAAGAAATCAACCTAAGCTTTAACCAGATCCAGTCCAATATATCCTTAAGTCACTTGATCAGATTGACTGATATTAGACTTAGTAAGATTCAGACGCAGAGCAGACAGGGAATAAAAATGCTGAGCTACTCACTGTCCCACTGGACTTTGCACATGAACACAAAATATGCACAAAGAGCTTGGTCTAACAGATCAAGAATCATTTTCAATATTGATCACTTTCAATAAATAATGAGTCAAGAGATGATAGCAGTGTGCCAAATATTAATTACTATTCTGTCTTGGAGAAACAAACAAAAAACTTATGAGACAACAAAGCTAAGGGCTCTAGCACTAATTGTTCCATATGAATAAAAGATGTGAGTTATTCAGAAAGAAACTTTAACAACACTATAACATAACTCAAAACCAGCAATGTATGTATGAGACTATCCATCACCTCCATCTGTTGAAATGGCTGCTCTCATGGCACCCCCAAAGCCTGTGAACAAGCACCTACGTTAGTTAAACAGTATGTTTAACAAACGGAAAGGATGGCAAATTTCTTGCTGAGATATTCTGCTTGAAATCCCCACAAAATCTGTGCAAATTCAAGATATCCATGTGCCAAAACTGAGGGGAGGGAAAGGGAAAGGTGTGGTATTTTGGGTTTTTTTTGCCAAACTACCACAAAAGGGAAATAGAAAGACTCACCTGGACAAGCAGTGACGAGTACAGTAGACTTCCTCCAGAGGGGATAACACAAAGCACTCGCAGATATAGAAGTGCTCTTTGCCAAAGAGCAGCACCCCTTCCAGTGCTGTATGGCCCTGCACAATTGCCACGGAGCACTTGAAAGACACCTAGAATAGAAGCAAGCCTAGTAAGGCCAGGAGCTGGTAACACAGGAGGACAGAGGCAGCAGGGAGCCAGAGCCAGTGATGCAGAACAGATGTTTGTACCAAAAAACCTGCCATATTGATTGGCAGGTTCACAGGGATGAAGTCACAAAATCACAGTACAGCTGACAGAAGTCCAGTCAGAATATATGAGTCTATCAATCTAACTGTCTTAAAGATTTAGATAAACATTCTAGAATATTTAAGAAAATTTCCCTTGATATCCTAAGACTCAATTTCTTGTTTTCACTTGCAAATAAACTAACTTGGCCCTTAAAATAGAGGAATTTCTAAAACACAATTTAGGAACATGGGGAATTTTTCAACAAAGTATTTTGTTTATCATATATGTCTGTACATAGAAAGTGTTCTTGGGAATTGACCACTTTTGATAAAGGAAAGAAAGTCTTCTTTTCTGGAACATTTTCTATGGCTGACAGATGGTGCAGAAAGTAAAAAAAATAATTTAGAGATTGGAAAATGGTGTGGCCTGCAGAAAACTTTAAAGTTCTGATTTTAAATCAAGCAGTGGTTCATTGCAAAGAGCTTCCCTTACATTTAGAAGCATGGAGTTTCTTATTTTTGTCTGCTCATAAAATATTCTATATATACTCAGATCCAAAAATCTAAGTCCACTGGTTAGTACAGTTAACTGGGAGGATCAAGGTCAACTCAGTGTTGTGCCCATTTTCAACCAGAACTTTCAATCAATACCTTCTCTGTTCCCAGGAAGGGGGCAGTAGGTAATCATCTATTAGCCCAGCCTCAAAAATATTGCTCCCAAAAATCTTAAAACACTAGTACTACCTTACATGCTAAGGAAACTACTCACTGCTGAGCTCCTCTGTGAATTAGCACAATTCTGGATTCACAGAATCCAGAAATGAGTGCAAGATTTTGCAAGCTTAGTCCATCAGAAGCTGCAAGGATCAGAGGGCTACATACAAGGGATTATGTAAATACCTCATTTACATAACAGGAGAACTTTCCTGTTTCAGGAATGTAATGCAATTGTTCTTAAGAGAATGGACTGACAAGTATGAGAAGTATCACAAAATCAATTTTTCTCTTAAGAGATAAGATCACTGAACTTATCTCTACCAAATTTTGTAAGATTGTATTATTTTATGGGACATGCAAAATTGACCCAGAAATGGCATTGGTTTTACTAGATCATTTAAAGACTATATGATAATATGGAGAGTAAGTATGGTTCTCCTTTGCTCTTTGCCTTTGTTCCTCACCTCACTGTTTCTGGAGTCAAATCTACAGCCTTCCTTGCCATCCCAAACTACACATGGTCTAACTAACATCAGCTGAAACAGACCTGCACAGCTTCACAAGCTTTTACTCTTTGATGTTAAGATAACACAAATATTAAATACATAAGTAAATGAAATAAAATCTTGCTTCCACACTTAAATACTTTACTGAAAAGCAATTATTTTACCAACAAATAGGGTGCTGCATTTTGAAATCCCTTAGCGGACACAAAAGGTTGTTCATTCTGGGTTTAAGGGGGAAAAAAAAAAGTCCTGGGAGATTTCTGTGGGTAATTTTTCATGAAAATCTCTTCAATCTCTTTCCCCTCTAAATGATTTCTAAGAGGAAGGTAGCATTTTTCCATCACCTCTCCCACAGGAATGCCTGTCTCTGCAGGGATATGCCAAGCACAGAACTCTGAACTGGAGTGCCTGCCATTATGTGGTTAGAGACATGTATGCTTGCACTGAGAATACTGGGGAATTCTGCTCACATTAGCAAACCACATGGTTTCCTGAAGTAATTAAATAGGAAAAAGACTGCTTCTTCCCAAAAGGAAGGTAACTGAATATTGAAAGATCAGGCAGTTGCATGAAGCAGCTCCACAGACACAGAAGTGAAATGCAGGCTTCTAAGAAATCCACCTCAGCAAACCCAGAGATCATGTGTATGGGTATAGGAGGCACATGGATCATGAAAGAGGCCTGCTTATGATCACTAATATGGTATAGCACAAATAAACACTTTGCTATTCTGCCTAAGGCAGAACCAGGGCACGTTAACAGACCTTGTTGAAGAGGAAGAGCACATACATCTCTTTCACAAACTTTAAACTGTAAGCCTAAGTATTCTGTGCCTTCCAAATACAAAAAGTCAATAGTGTCAATACATTTCTTCAATTTTATTTTATTTCTTCAAATTTTTACTATTATCAAATAGATCTGCATTATTTGAAATACAAGAGCCCCTGAGCTGAGTAAGTTTTTTTTCATTTGAAGAATATGACTTGTATTATTGCTGATGGGTAACAAAGATCTGACTTGTACTGCAGAATCTCCACCAGGACAGTGCTGTACCTTCAAATCTTGTACCTTCAGTCTTGCATTAAAAGACTGAGGAGCTTGAAATTATCATAAATAAAACAAAAACTTTCCTTTTCTGTCAAAACAGATCAAAACCCAGTTCACAGGCTACTAGAATCATTAATCAATGAAGCAAACATGACATAAAATAATTGAATAATTACCTTCTAAGTTATTGCCCAAAGCCCTACATCTTTTGATTGCTCTGTTCATTCATATGTACAAGGGAGCACATTCACTCAAACACACACACGCTGACACACACTGACACACACACACACAGTGGATGACTTCTGAGCACTGCAGGAAATAAAATGGCTCCAGTTGCCTGTTTAAAGTGCAAACAGCTCAGAAGGCAGCCACCGACAAGGCAGGACCGCGGTGCACTAAGTGAGCACAGGACAGCTAATGTCACCCCCTGCTGCATTTGTTAATACTTCTGTCAGCTCGGCAAGGCAGGGACTGCTGCTGGAAAAAAACATGCCTGGCATTTCTGATGGCTTCCTGCAGAGTTACATGGAGAAGAGACAGACAGCCTGAAGGCTCAAAATGAGATCAGTGCGTGGAAATCATGCCTCACATTTTCATGCCTGTCTCCTTCTGCTGGGGAGAGGTATGGGGAGGAAGGGGAAAAAGGGGGAGGGGCAGAGGAATAAATTCTGTTACAAAAACACATTGCACCGAGAACTCTGAGACAAAGTCATATTAGATACCACAATTGTGACCCCTTAGCCACTGGCAAAGCATTAGGCAATCTGATATTGGTAAGAAAATCTGATATCAGGTATTGAGATATTTTAATAAAACAGCTATTTATACATCTATGTACTATCACAGCACTCTTATGTCTGAGTTTAAATACTGAGTATTTGGCTTCCAGTATGGGATGCTAACTCCTGGGCCACTGAGGGAATGATGCCACTGAAAGAGACAGGTACACTGCGAAAGATCAGGGAATGAGGCCAGGTTGTCAATGTCACTGATGCCTCAATTAAATTGACAACATCAAAGCTACCATCTTCCAAAGAGTCACCCTTATTTACTCCACAACTCATCTCTTCCTTCAGTGTTCCTGAACCTTAAGCCTCCTCCTTATTTTGAGAAGAAACCTTGGTGAAGGGCATTCAGTCCAGTACAAGAGCTAAGAAGGAACAGAAATGTTTTGAATAGAGAACACATGATGGAAGCATCAAAGAGGAAGCATGGAAAGTTTCCATGGTCTTAGAGGGAAGAATTTGTCCAGTACTCATGGGGAGATAGACAGACAGACATGTGAAAAGAGAAAGGAAACATTTTCTGGTATTTTTCAGGAAGACATCACTGTAAACATCACTGAACTAGCAACCTATCCAAAACTGGCATACTCTTCCAGAGGTTATAAATACATTTGATTTAGGCATTGCTCTGAGCTTGAGTAAAGGTTGTAGAGCAGCACAGAAATTCTCAGAGTCTCAGAATTTGCCATATCTTAGGCAAATTCAGACAATAGTATCTCATACGAAAGTATCTTGCTTGCCATGCCCAAATTTTTTTCTCTTACTTCAAGGAATTACTGTTAATTGCTCTTTAAGAAAAGTTTGTACAGGAGTTCATACAGCAACTGGAAAACTGTATTTCCTCTGAGGAAACAGAGTAATGATGTGTACGGTAGCCTGAATCCACCTGAACCCAGAACTGAAAGGAACAGATAGGCCTCCATATCACCCTCTAAAATGCCACGTTCCCAGAGAAAAATTTCTAGCTCATTTTTCCTACCTTTTCACTCTCTGCAAACTCCTGCAATATAATTTGTCTCTCCACACACAGTTCCAAGAAGTCTTCTGAATGGAAACTTTCATGTAGAGCTGGGAAGAATGTTAGCTGGTCACAATCCAGTCCCTTCTGATCCATGTCCCTCTCTGCTCCATTTAACATCAGCTCTCCTACATCAGTATAAAAGAGATTGCGGTTTTAGTAGCAGCCGGATGACACCAAAAGCATTTGCAATTTAGTCTTTCACTCAATCTATTCTACCTTGGGAAATAGAATTATTTATCTGCAAAAGACAGGCAAGAGAATTAAAATCTGTGACTGCTGAAGAAGGATGCTTATTTCAGGGAACCAAAGACAGATACATGCAGTCAGTCCTAATTCAAACAAAATCCTTATAATCACAGATTAGAAAATCAGGAAAAAATTTAAATGGTAGTCTTTTAGGGACATGGACTGAACAGGATCTTCAGAAAACACAAAGACAACCCACTTGTATCTCACCCAAGCCATGTCCCAAGTTCTGAAAACTCATGAAATGCACGCAGACAGAAAAGGCCCAATCAGCCTTCTTATTAAGGCAAACTGTAACTGTTTCATGCAGAAACTACAGAGTGCTTCCATCTTATTTGAAATTTAAAACAATGAGCTCCACTCGTGAGTTTGCTAGGCCCTTTCACAGTAAAAAGCATGTAATATTGCACATTTCCAAAAGCAATTCTTCTAAGTTTAAGCAATTGGGAGCTTTCTAGGTGCCCACAAGTGCCCAAAGCTTACACTTCAAAATAGCTTTTCTGCTTTAGATCTTTCAGGTGGCAACAAGAGAACAGCAAATTCTGAAGACAGTTGATATATCACCTATGAAGTTTCATCAGTTTTGCCACAGATGTTACAGCGACATTTTAGCCCAGAGCACCAACAGTAAGGTTTTCTTTTTGCTGGATTAAATTGTGACCTAGAATTCCATACCCTAATTCCAATTATCTTTGTCTGTTTATGTTCACTGTCTTGATGAAGCAATGTAGTCCTAAAAGGTTACCTGGATTCATTTCAGTGGGGGATGTTGTTTCCTTTCTGTTTCCTAGAAGAACCTGAAAAGAGATCAGGTGTGACTGGAGTGGAACACGCAGATAGGTAAGCGTAACTCAGAACCTTGTTGGCAGAGAAAAACACAGATTTAGAACTATGTTGCAAATAAATGCCTTGGAAATTCAAATAAATATCACTGGAAAGGAACCCAAAGGAACAAATGTCATCAATTAAGAATTGTTATCTTTCCAAACAAGATTGTGCATGAGGACAGTTATATTATGAAAGTCATACTATTCAGTATACAGAAAAACTGCCAGAATCCAAGCAGCACAAAAGATGCCTTATATATGGACACCTTATATTAAAATGCTTCAGCCTTTCATTGATAGGATTTGGTATTTTGACATTAGAGAAACAGACAGTAGTAAATACCCCACATTTACAGTTCAATCTTAGCTTAAACCACCTTATTTCCCTTTTGGCCATTCACCACTTTTAGTAGCACTAGTAAGCATATGAATAACAGGACAGTGTAGCCTTCTATCTGGACTCTGCTGCATACATTGGGAAGCACTATATCATGGAGATACTACTAGCAGAAAAGTACGGAGTCAGGTGATGAGAACCAGATAGTTGTCAAAGGTTGGACTCCATGCTTTGGAAGGGCTTTTCTAACCTCAATGTTTCTCTCATTCTATAAAGTCACCAGCAACTGTCACAGACATGGTGCACCTCCTGTCAAAGCTTTCTAAAGCGTTCTACCTCACTCCTCATTCGCATCGTTGCCACGTGGGTGTTCACATGTTGAATCCTCCTCCTCATTCGTGAGGGCCCCTCGTAACAATCAAGAATCCATCGTGGCTCTAATGATCGTGAAGCATCTCTCCATGGGCCCCCTCTGTAGAAAAGTTGCTCCTCAAGTATCATCCAGTCCTTGGCTGCTTTGCTGTAAGCACACTGCTGCATCTGCGGGACAGAACCACTTTGTGTCAATTTTTGGACACTTCCCTCCTCTCAGCCATCAGTGGCACCACCTCAGTGATTCAGAGGGTTCTACCCAATTCACCAGATGGGACCACTGCAGAGACAGTGCTGCAGAACTAACAAACAAGCCCAACTGACCACTGGAAGTGTGCTGCAGGAGATGTTAGTAGTGATAAAATAATGATAGTCTGAATAGACAATACAGTGACAAGAAAAGACTATCACAAACTTGAAAACATTAAATTTCCAGCTCAAAAGCAGTGAGCCAGGAGAACTGCATCACAGAGGATTTTATTCACTCTATTATTTTTCTGGTAAACATGTGTGACAAATGGCAACAACTGGGCTCACTGAAAACAGTCTGAATGATTCAGTTGTAAGTGTACTATGCTCCCTTTGAGCAAGCCATAAACTTAGTTCTTTCTATTTAGGTTGTGTGCAAGGAGTTAGGAAGCACTAACATATCAGTTTAAAGGAGAGAAGAGGTGAGCATTTCTAAGAGGCAAAACTTTGTTGGTCCCTGATAGCCAAACCTGAAACAGAAACATACCTGTGATGTTTTACTGTCTACGAGCTTGAGATCTATTTAAAAAATTTTACTGGCTACTAAAGGAAAAAAAAATGAAAGGTCAAAGTTCTCACTTTCATTTCTGCCATTGGAAGAGTGGAATAATTAAATTAAAAAAAGTTAAAAAAAAGGTCCTGAAAATGAAGTGGGGAGTCTGATTGCTGAGTGATGCAGTATCACACTTCAGCAGTAATGTCAGGAGAGAAGTGTTAACTCATCAACTCTCATCAATTCTTTAGGCACAATATTGATCTCACTTCTACAATTCTCAGTTTCTCAGGGCAAGTCCAAGAGTAACCTTTCAACAACAGAAAGCTGTTGCCCAATACTCCTGTCCTTTACCTGTACATGGTCCTTGTACAGAGAAGCATACAGCTCCTGCCCAACTCTTCGGTACTGTTCCATACATGACACAAATCCCTAGAAGACACATCAGAACACATCATGGCACGGTGCTGCAGATGTAAATCCTGTGAGGGGCAGAAGCAGGCATTAGTTGTTCTTTTACAAGAACAGTTAAGGAATATGGCCTGTGTCTGCAAGTTTGGTGGCTCTGCAGGCAGTGTAGAAATGCCTGAGAGCATCTCAATCTCCTGAGAGCAAGTTGCACACTTACACCTGGAATATAAACATAGACATCGTCTTAACAAGGGTCATTAGTGGAGCCACTCAGAACTTTCTCAGAAAGAGACAGAAAACACCAAATAGAATTTAAGACTATTCTTTCTGCAGCTGAATTAGTACTGCAAATAGCACAAATGACAATCATTTGTTGTAGAGACCCCAACTGAGGTAAGGATCTATAGTGAGATTATACAGGAGAGGTGAGTGCCCCCAGTGTCATATGAAGAGTGTCACATCCAGCTGAACTTCCCTGACAAATGTGAGGTTGTTGTGAGTCACAGCAAGAGGCTAAACTGACTGTGAAATTCCCAGCCTCGTACTACCTAAAGCCATGGATCAGGTAGGTAACTTTTAAATGCAGGGACTCTGTGCCACACTGGCAGTGATCCCTCACAGCAAACTGTCTGGCTGTTGCTTGCGCTGGGCTCTAATTAAGTTAACATACAAGGTCTGGGTGTTGTGCTGATTACTGCTGGCTGCCGGCCAGGTCTGTAACCCTGCCGCGAAGTCACATTTATTGGTGTTTCCCTGCAGGAAGCTCCTGTTTTACACTGATGAACGTCATTATATTTTTGTTTGTTTAAAGCATCATTAAACCTGTAATCACAGTTGTGGCCTCACAAAACTATTCCATAATTCATATAAAACTCCCATAAAAGCTGACCTAGAAAGCAACAGCATCTCTGTGCTCTTAAACCAGTCCTGGTATAGGAGAAAAGCTGAGATCCTGGCTCTATGTGGATTGGAGCAAAACCATTCAGAGTAGAAAATCAATTCCTCCATTTTAGATATTCACAGACTATTCAAGCCAAGTCAGTGCAGCTGTTTCAAAGTTGCTCAGAGTCTCTATTTCATTCATGGTCATCAGTGAGATCCCTAAGGTCAAAGTCCACATCACAAAGATTCTCGCTGACCCAGTTCCTAGCCCTTGAAACATATGAAGGATCCTAAGAAGGAAAACTTCTGCTAGCCACATCTGGTCATCTGAAGACTAACCACTTTGGCTTCCAAATGAGCTATAGTTAGCCAGCTTCAACCAGATGAACTATTGATCTCACAGGAAAACCATCTGGTTGCAAAGTGTAATGAACAGTTAACAAAATTGGAGATGACTGTGATCAGGAAAAAAAAAAAATGAAAAAAGGCACAAATGCTAAACAAACACACAAAAACAAAACCTGAAAAAGATAACCAATAAACATGGAGAATATAGACCAGGCTATTATTTACTAAGTGTTCAGTCAAAACAATTATACTGTAATGCCTAGTGAATAACTAAAAATCTACTCAAACAAGTTTCTAACAAATAAACAGATTCCATTAAAAATTGTAGGTGCTTATCCTTTAAAAGAGCAGCTCTTTATGGAGTAGATTAAACACAGCAGTGCCACAATAAAATCTATTTTAAGAATATACCAGCTTTGATAATTGTTAATGTAGTATAACGTAAGGTTTGAGTTTCATTTGCAGAAAAGCAGTAAATATAAGAACTGTAACACACATTTTTTGGGAAGAGCACACTAAAGGGCCATATTGATCAATCCTTTCCTAAAAATCTGAGTAGGAAACCATGCTTTAAGTCTTTTTTGTATAGATTTCTCTACTTTGCAGCCTTAAGCAATCACATTGTAAGTAAAATCAGATCATTTTGTTGCCACATATTCCCCAGCCAATATTTAGAGCTTGAAAAGGTGATAGAATTCACAAGTTATCTTCCTATTAAAAAACCAAAACAAATCACAGACTCAAAAACTATTTATTTTCTTGCTGCATGGAGTCCTCAAATAGGAGTGAAAATGATTAGCACTGAGGAAACTCAGTGTGTGAATTTTCTGTAAATTCTTTCAAGCAAAACAATTGAGAGGCTCTTTTTAATGAGAAACAGTTGAAACGAAAAAAAGATTGAGTTGTGGTTTATAAGTTAACAAAACTCTACTGAGCTTTGGAATGCTTTATGCCTGATTTTATTTTATTTTTTTTTAATATATATAGATCAGTTAACACTCCTGCACCTCATAAATATTCAGGCTTGCCATAATATGCTCATATTGCATGATACAGACACCACACATAGCACAGTTCTTTCCTAAAGAAACATTATGTCACTGGGACTCTGCACTTGGAGGCTTTCTTGGTATGTGTTGTGTTACAGAATACACATAAACACAAAAATATGTGCCAAAACTCTTAATAAATGAAAATAAACATCAAGACAAATTAATTTTGGACTTGTAAGAGACACAAAGATAGCCCAAATGTTTGAATCCCTTGCTGTGCCAAGGGAATTATCCCATGGATGATAGTGACAATTCACATGTACTTATTTTGAAGCATGTGTTTTCAGTCATCTGTTGGTAAGGACTAGAACTAGTGATTTTAGTCTACTACTTTAGCTCTTCTGAGTAAAATAAATACCGTAAGTACATAAACATATATAGTAAGAGCATTAATGGACCATCACAACCATAACCCTTGTGCAATACTTTTGACCAGTACATCTTAGAGATCTTTATGAAAGAAAGCAAAGTCTTTAGTTTACAGATGGGAAAACTGAGTTTCTGGAACATCACAGAATCCAGGAATGGTTTGGGTTGGATTGGACCTTAAAGATCACCCAGTTCCAACCCTCTGCCATGGGCAGGAATATCTTCCACTAGACCAGGATACTCAGAGCCCCATCCAGACTGGTCTTGAACAGCTCCAGGGATGGAGAGTCCACAACCTCCTGTAATTAGGAGGGAAAGGACATATGATGGGGAAAACCCAGCCTGAATTAATTTGAAACAGCCTGATAAGGCCACAAAGAAGATGCATATGGTGAGAGCATGCAGTAGTGGCAGGGGGAACCCTTTTGATGAACCAGTTTGGAAGTCTCTTCTACATTTATGTTCCCAGTGGTAGAGAGTACTCTAACATAGCTGATGTACCAGATATTAGATCTCATATCCCAGGAAGAGTTCATGTACTTAATTCCTCTAACTTGGGCTTTCACACTTCTACAAGGAAGGCTTTTTAACCTAATTATGACTATTTAAGCAATCACTAGGTTTTCAGAAAGTATTTCATAGGCATAAAAGACCAGAACAGCATGTAGTGAGCTCTTAAGGATGCCAGAACCTACATGTAAATAGCATATGTGACAGTAGCAAAGAGCTTGTGTATGGAAGAAACAGATCTGATGACTCTGATTCAAAAAATCATCCCTATGTTTAGGGAAGTGCTTAGGCATGCATTTCACAACTTTTATGTAGAGGTTGTCTGCTAGTGAAGGGGGCAGCCTTGCCTTTAAACCAAGCATTAAAGATATCAACTCACAGATAATATATATGCAGCACTTGAACATAAAAAGTGACAATTAAAAATAAGTAAAATCTCTAGGGATCATAACTCAGAAAGAAGAAAATAGGAAATCAGCATCATTAGAATGAGAAAAAAATTACATTATACCAATGTGATAAACTTCACATCTTGACTCAAACAAAGGAGAAAAGGAGATTAAATAGAACACTAAGGAAATGCCATTTTATAAAGAGCAAATTGATCCAATTTTTTTAGTATGTATTTCCCAGCAGCTCAACATTAAATGGCATCCACTTGTGGTGCAGCATTGCCCTTCTCCACAGCCCCATATGCCACCTCGGTCTGCAGGACTGCATGTCCTAATCAGTGTGGATGAGGATGTGACCTAGTCAAGAAGGAGAGAGTTTCTCACAAAATCAAATTATCTTTTCAGGCATCATCTAGAGCCAATAATTTTTTCATAGCACATTCCTGAACTGTGTATGACTTACACAGGCACAGAGCCAGATTGTCAGTAAAGTTTTGAGCCTAAACTCTTTGGAGATATGAAAACTATCTTCTTGTATTCATGACAGTTCTCATGCTCCTTTTTCACACATCTACCCAGAATGTGCCATTAAAGCTCAATACTTCTGGTCCTTTCTTGCTAAATCAATCAATCAATCCATTCCTCATCGTGCTTGCTACAGAAGACACGATTACAGCTACCATCGCAGCTTTACAGAGAAGCATCTGAGTGCTACAGTAAACTACTAGAGCTGGATGAAGTCTCCAATGCACCAGCCCTGTTCTATTCAGTCAAAGTGTGTAACATCTCCAAATCTGCTCCTGCTATTAAATCTGACACAGTGACCAGGTACACTGCTACCCTGTGCAAATAATAAGCTACCCATCTTGAGAGCAGATTACTTTTCAAGTAAGTGACTATGCACTAGGCAGAAAGTACCTTCATTTCATAAGAGGAAAAGTAATTCCATTACTCCCCAGGTAACAATCATCAAGCTAAGGCAGACAGTGTTTTCCTTAGCAGATTGAAGAGCTGTTTATCCTGGTCCTTCACATACACTCTCCACACTGAGGGTTGTTTGCAGGCTCTTTTGAATCACAAAAATGTTATTGCCATGTGGATTTTATTGTTGCTTTGCCAAAATTCATTTAGCTTTTCAACAGACTGAGTTCCAGCAGTTAAGTGTTGCATGGAAGCTTCGTGCCTCAGCCCACTAGGAGGCTAATGCAGTGTGCCAACTGCTCCTAAGGATCATGGATGGATTCCTGGCATTGCCAGTTGGCTGGGGAATAGCAGACCTAATGAGAAAATCCTCCATATTTCTGTGCATCATAAATGTACCCACACACAGGGGTAAGTTTCAAAGGGTAAACCTAAAGTGTGGCGTGTACATGTGATGAGATTTCCACACCGCATTTATCAGCTAAGCCCAGGCAGTACAGAAGCCAGTCTACTCCTATAGCAACCATATGTCCCTACGTGTGCATGC